TTTCGAAGATCCGATTCTTAATTTCTTCAAGTCACGAACGTTATCGGCAGTATTGACTGAAGACCCTGCTCGAGAATCCAAGTTATCCCTTCAGAAGAACCGTCGAACTTCCTGGCACCTGGCTTCCGACTTCACCGACCTGGAAACTGAGATAGAGCCCAAGCCTGGGAAATCCGTCTCTCTGGCAAACCAACAAACACTTGGTGTGCATACTTCCGTCGATGGTGGCGTCGCTGGGGAAATCCTGGAAACAGCTAAGAATCTGACTGAGAATCAAACTCTGGGAGAGATGTTGTCTGGTTTCCAAGGACGGATTAGCCATACAGAGTGCGTGGAGGCATTGGTGATGATGGGTGAAAGTGGTTTTGTCAAGAGTTGTTTGTATTTCTACGAGTGGATGAATCTGCAGAATCCGTCCCTTGTTTCGCCTCGTGCTTGCTCTGTGCTCTTTACATTGCTCGGTAGACAAGGAATGGCTGATGAAATTCTGCTTCTTCTGCGTAATTTACCAGACATGGAAGAGTTCAAAGATGTTCGTCTCTATAATGCCGCCATTTCTGGAATTTCAGCCTCTCAAAGGTATTCTCTTTTTCCTCTCTGCGAAGATGATCCAATGCTGGAGAATGGAAAAGTTGTAATCTTTTTCAAGCTCTGATCAAATTACAGGGATTCTCGTTTGCTTAAATTGTCTAGTTGGTGCTCTCTTCTAGGTACGATGACGCTTGGAAAGTGTATGAAGACATGGATAAGATCAATGTCCATCCGGATAATGTTACATGTGCTATAATGATCACAACCATGAGGAAAGCAGGACGAACTGCGAAAGAAGTTTGGGAGATATTCGAGAAAATGAGTGAGAAAGGTGTGCGGTGGAGTCAGGATATTTTCGGTGGCCTTGTGAAATCGTTTTGTGACGAAGGGCTAAAAGAAGAAGCTCTGGTGATCCAAACAGAGATGGAGAAGAAAGGCATCCGTTCAAACACGATTGTGTATAATACGTTGATGGATGCTTACAACAAATCCAACTACATAGAAGAAGTGGAAGGTCTTTTTGCAGAAATGAAAGCTAAAGGCTTGAAGCCTACAGCTGCAACGTATAACATTCTCATGGATGCTTATTCCAGAAGGATGCAGCCCGATATTGTAGAGACACTTCTGCGGGAGATGGAGGATTTAGGGTTAGAGCCAAATGTGAAATCCTACACGTGTTTGATTAGTGCGTATGGGAGGACGAAGAAGATGAGTGATATGGCTGCTGATGCTTTCCTGCGGATGAAGAAAGTTGGTTTGAAACCTACTTCACATTCTTACACAGCTCTTATTCATGCTTACTCGGTTAGCGGGTGGCACGAGAAAGCTTATGCTTCCTTTGAAGAGATGCGTAAAGAAGGAATTAAACCGTCGGTTGAAACATACACTTCGCTTCTCGATGCATTCAGACGGTCTGGTGACATGGAAAAGCTTATGCAAATTTGGAAACTAATGCTGAGAGAAAAAATCAGAGGGACACGGATAACATATAATATCATTCTTGATGGGTTTGCCAAGCAAGGCCACTACATCGAAGCGAGGGATGTTGTTTCTGAATTTGGTAAAATGGGTTTGCACCCGAGTGTTATGACTTACAACATGCTGATGAATGCCTACGCACGGGGAGGACAAGAAACAAAATTGCCACAGCTGTTGAAGGAAATGGCTGTTCTTAACTTAAAACCTGATTCCATCACGTATACAACCATGATCTACGCATTTGTTCGTGTTCGAGACTTCAAAAGGGCATTCTTTTACCACAAGATGATGGTTAAAAGCAGGCAAGTACCAGACCCGAGGTCCTATGAGAAACTTAGGGCGATTCTTGAAGACAAGGCAAAGACAAAGAACAAAAAGGATAAGACTGCGATACTTGGTATAATAAATAGCAAATTTGGTCGGGTTAAAGCTAAGATGAAAGGTAAGAAAGACGAGTTTTGGAAATACAAGAGGAACCGAACATCTTATAAACCTGACCTTCACCGATCTTGAAGGTAGCCTGAAAGCTATAGGAATGCTTAAGTGGTACATAGCTACGATGCTCGAGCTAGGTGAATTTATGTTTCATCTGTTATTTGTACTTGGCCTTATTTTTTAGCCTTCTTTTTTTTTTTTTCTTAGAAGATACTTTGTTCATGTGTAGTAAAAAGTGCAGCAGTTTAGCTTTATTGTTCCGACAAGCAAAGAATCTCTTAAGCTGCGAGAAATCTTCAGATATAATACTCTTTTACTCGCTGCATCAAAGATCACACACATCATCACTCTCTTGAAAACAACCCAAATAAAGAAAATGAAAATCTTGATTCCATTGGCGACACTCATAGTAATCTCAGAGCTTTGTGTTGTGGACGCATGCCGATCATACTGTGGAAATATAACCGTGGACTATCCTTTTGGAATCCGAAATGGATGTGGACATCCAGGGTATAGAGATCTCTTGTTTTGTATGAATGATGTGTTGATGTTTCACATTAGTTCAGGTTCTTATAGAGTGCTGGATATCGATTACGCATATCAGTCCATAACTCTGCATGATCCTCACATGTCGACATGCGAAACAATTGTGCTTGGAGGCAAAGGCAATGGCTTTGAAGCTGAGGATTGGAGAGCTCCTTATTTCAATCCTACATCTGATAATGTCTTTATGCTGATCGGATGTTCACCTAAATCTCCTATATTTCAAGGTTAGTAGTATATGTTACCAAACACATTACGGTTCTGTTTACGCACGGCTCTATCCGGGTTCGGTTCAATTTGGTTTATATGCCCACCACTACTATTGTAGGCTTCCCCGAGAAGAAAATCCCATGCCGCAACATTTCAGGGATGAGCTGCGAAGAATACATGTCGTGTCCAGCATGGGACATGGTTGGATACAGACAACCGGGTATGGAATCCGGGTCCGGTCCACCCATGTGCTGTGCGGTCGGGTTCGAATCAGTAAAAGCGATTAATTTGAGTAAGTTGGAGTGTGAGGGTTACAGCAGTGCGTACAATCTCGCACCGTTAAAGCTTAGAGGACCGTCCGATTGGGCTTATGGGATACGTGTTAAGTACGAACTGCAAGGAAGTGATGCGTTTTGTCGCGCGTGTGTTGCAACTTCCGGGACTTGTGGCTACGAATCTGCCGATGGTGGAGGACTTAGGCACACTTGCATATGCGACCATCACAATTCCACCACAAATTGTGATTCAGGTCAGTATTGTTTACTATCAATTCAATTCCACCACAATTGGTTCAAGCGCTTAAACTGATCAGTTAGACATGCTGGTTGGTCCAATGGACCGGTTTAGCGTTTGGACCAATTTTTTAAACCAGTTTGGTTCACTCCAAACTCGTCTTTAATTATGTAGTGTTTTTTTTTTTTTTTGTCGAATTATGTAGTTATAACACCAACCGGCGCATCTTCAAGTGTTCGACAAAAAACTATTGGATGTAAGTTTTAAATTGTATTTACGTGTTCGGTGACTTTGTTTTTTTAATAATAAATTTGTTTTATTTCAACTAAATTATAATCCGTTTTTTTTCGTTGCAGCACTGCTCTTCTACTTCATAAGTATGCATATAGGCTTTCACAGAAGACACTGAAGGGGTGATTGGCAAAAATAGAGAAGAAAGGAGCAGCTGAAAGCAGCTGAAGCGAGAGTCGTACGAGAAGTTGGGAGTCAGGAGCGGAAGCTGGAGTGGGGAGCAGAACTCGAAGCTCGGAGCCGAAAATGACACCGGTGACTTAAAATAATTTTTACGTTAAATAATGAAATGAAATCCTTTATCAAAATCTTAACTAAAAACAAGACATTATTATTATTTAAAAAGTTTAAAACTAGATAAAAAAAACTAAATTAGTTTCTATATATATGTGCTGCAATGTTGTTTCAAACACCTGCCATGTATGCTTCATCCGTAGGCACATAATCTCTTCTTTGAGTTTTTTTCATTATCATCTGATTCTAACGATTCAAGCACTTCATTTCCCATCGGCTCTTACTAGTAGCGGATGAAGAAATATTTTTCACCAAGGTCAATATAACTAAAAATTATTATAAATATTAACAAAGTAGAGTGCATGACAACTGCATTACAACTTGTACCAAAGTCAATATAACTTATAAATATTTTTAACTATGGTCAATATCACAATAGGTATTATAAATATTTTTCACCACGCACTACAAGAAAACAGGGTCGTTTCCGACGGCCAAAACCGTCGAAAATCCGTCGGAATAACCCCTATTCCGACGGCTTTTCGACGGTTTTGGTCCGTCGGTTTTATCTCGTCGGAAATAAAAATCCGTCGGAAATACTGACGGATTTCTGACGGAAAAAAGATAACCGGAATCCGTCGAAAATCCGTCGGAAATACTGACGAATTTCTGACGGAAAAGGGATAACCGTAATCCGTCGGATTCCATTTACCGACGGATTTCCGACGGCATGATTTACCGACGGAGTTCCGACGGCCAGGACTTCCGACGGATTTCCGACGACGGTGGTAACCGACGGATTTCCGACGGATTTATTATTTAAAAAAAAGATTTCT